TAGGGACAAAAACCGGACGAAGGAAAAAAGAGTGCAGAACTTAGATATTCATATGATAACTCCGTCGCTTATGTTCCTTTCGTCAATAATCGGTTGGTTTACCCCTGTCTTGTTTCGGGGTTTGAAGACAAATCTTTGCCTTATGTTTGCAAAGTTTGATATATATATTTCGGCTTTATTTTCTGCCTATTTTAATGTTTGGGTTTTTGTTTTACCCTTCAACTTTGCATTAAAAATACTTTAATGCTCCGTGACTTTTTTGAATAAGCACGAATTATAAAAGAGGGCCCTTTTATGAACGACACTTAATGAAGAAGACGTCTCAACTTCATAATGGTGTAAATATACAAAATAGAGATAGGAATTTTCACATATTTTTCTTTAACAATGTTTTGGAGAAAGTTTTTACATTGAACTTTCATAACATTTCACATGTGTTTGTGTATCGTCTATAACTCATTTTGCAACTGTTTTTTCTTTTAACAGATTCGATATAAGCTTGCACTCGTAACTGTTTTTCTTTTGCAATAGTTTTTTTTTTGAATTAGTACAAGGGGATAACTATTTTTGTTTACAATAGTTTTAAATATAAGGGTATGAATTTTTACCCATAACTATTTTTATTGATAACAGTTTTCAAATGAATACAAGGGTAATGCTTTTTCATCCGTAACTGTTTTCAGTTACAACAGTTTTTGAGTAAGTACAAAGATGTGCATTTTTACCCATAATTAATATTCTGCCTTTAACCTTTTTTGAAATATTCGTTTATATTTATGAATATGTTTTCAAAGGTTTTCGAGTCAGGCTTGTGTTTTTGGCTCGTGACTTTGCTCTTAACTTTCGATTTGTTGGGTAGACCTTAGGCTTGACTTGAATTTTGATTTTTCTAGTCTTCTTTGCCTTCCATATATATAGTCCCCCAAGTGTTAGAGCTTTGAAGTATGAAATCTCGAGCATTTGATTATTCCTTCCATGTGGTCCATTTCCTGAAAAGGAAAAACATACGGGACTCGGAAGCATATAATTAGATGATGATTGCTTAACCCTTTTTTTTATCAAAAGGGTTGTAACCTAGACCGGGAATAATCCAGTGTTCCTCGTGTCTTTCGAGTCTAATATCATCATTTGGCATTTTAGGGAATTTATCCGAGTACAAGTTTTTCTTGGCACTTTAGAAAATTATTTGAGTGCTCATACTTAGTCTTTTAGACTTAAAATATATATTTAGATGCATCGTTACTTGTGCGATGTCTAAAGTTGCACCTTTGGGTGTCTAACTTTTAAATAAAAGAGAGCTCTTTTATATACTTTAAACGCTATGAATAGGACGTCTCCTTTTTATTCGGGCGTAAAATAAGATCGATTGATCCGAGTAGACTTTTAGTCTGAGGGATTACTAAACCCGATAGGATTTACAAGAGTATTGACCCCATTAAAATTTACGGGAGTATTGATCCCGGTAAGACATTGAATTTGAGGGAGTATTGATCCTAAATAAATATATCTTAGTAGATTTGTCCTGAAGAGACATTTAATCTGATTGGATTTTGAATCTAAATTGGAGTATATGAACATACTTCCAAGTAGAGAGGGATATATGTCCGAAATAATATTTGAGATTTACGGGATAATCGATCCGAGTCAAAATACAATTAGCCATTAAGAAAGGCTTATATATTTAGCTTGAATGGTCGTTGTTGGACCGAATATAAGTTGCGTGTTTGTTCAAAGTGAACTTTATTCTGGTGGCATATTTGCATTACCTTTATCTTGACTTAGATAGCTGGTAAATAATGTCAGGTCAAATTGACTAATCTTCAAGTATAAGTAATCTTCCTAGCGTTTGAGTTTTGAGGTATGAGAACTCAAACACTGGAATCATAATTTGACAATCCGCAGTTTAATAATCCCCAGTAGGATAGTTAGTTTCGATATTGATGGACTTTCAAATGGTCTAGTTCCAACATTTCGTACTCTAGTTAGGAACTACGGAGGTTCCAAAATGTTGTCGAGGATCATGCCATATCTTGATTTGAGCTATTCATACTGACTTCGATGAGTTTTTGATTTAAAGCCTTAATACCGAAGTAATTTTCACAGCTTCCTTTATAAATTTCTTGCATCATATATTTTGTTTGTTTGGTCCATGTGGCATTTTAGCTTTTGGATCCTTGAATATTCTCAAATATAATTCTCCATCAACAAGGCAGGTAGTACGGGATGAGACACACTCAGAGTTATCGAGAGCATGCTTATCTTTGGGTAAAGTCACATTCTGCAAGTAATAAATAAATTTATTATGCCCATTCCAAATTAAATAAGTCAGGCTTACCTCATTTTCATTCTAATTGATGATAGATCAGGGATCGCTTAAATAAGAGATGGCTCAATCCCGAGACTATTTGATTCGGAAATAATATTTCTCAATAAGAGCCCGGAGTTGCCTTCGGAGTTAGTGATATTAGCAGTATATCCGAGACTAGCACATCCGGCTCTATTTTCTTGGGCTGCATAGTTTTCTTGGATTTGATCAATCGTTAAATCAATACTTTTGCTCTGAGTCCCCAAGCTAATTTAAGCCCTTTGTCTTCTTGAATTAAAATTGCATTTACCGAGACATCCGAGACAATTTGGTGTAGCTGCAATCATCTTTCTCCTCGGAATTTTGAAAGTAATGATGTGTTGTTGTTAAATAGCAAGTTCGAGTGATTCGACTTTTCGGACTAAACCGATCTTTCGAATTTCTATAACTTTATCTTTTATTATTTGACTCTAGTTTCTTTTTTTGCTTGACCGGATTATACCGCGGGTCAATATTGAGCATATAAACCTTTTCCTCCGGTGGTATACCTGTTATGTTAGCATGGAGGCAAGAAAAGCAATTTTTGCTAGCATGCAAAAGTTTAATCAACTTACATTAAATTCGGTGTCGAGTCTCGACCAACGCAAACCTTCCTATTTGGGAAGTCAATGATAATTTCTAGTTCTTCAGCATTTGACCTCGTGGCTTCTAATGCCTTCGGTTCAATGATTGCTTTCGAAAATATTTGTATAATTGTCCAAGGTTATTAATGAACCTTCCTTTCTCGTGGTTTATTCCATCCCGCAGCTATCTCTTCTTTTTCAGTTGTTAGGTGTGATATCTTTGTAAGCAATCT